TTTTATTTTACCACTCTTCAAATACCATTCCAATATCGGAAGTAAAGCTTTCAATCAAATCCAATCAAGGGTGCTGTTTGATTAAGAACGTTTCCTTCGGAGCTAAGTTTGGCCAAAACTTCGTTCGTTACTGGGCTAGTGTCACCCTCTGGAAAACAACATCATGCTGCATGAAGCAAGACATCAAGGAAAATTTTTGACCAAATTTGGCCCAAAGAGGGTAATCTGATAAATAGCGCCTCAGAACATCTTTAATCGTTGAACAAACCCTCTCGGATCAAAATACAGTTTAGAGGAAGAATTTCTTGTCTCTCACCCTCTTCTCCACCACCCCTCCACACCTCATGGTCAGACTGCACTGTTGGAAAGACATTCCCCTTCCAGGGGATATTGTATTATTTCGAGTCGTTATTACTCTATATAATGAAGTTGGGACCCACTCACGTCCGGAGCAATACTGTTATATGTACTCCTGGACGAGTCTAGTACCAGCCGAACTACCACGGAGGGTGGATTGGTTGAATGGCACCTACACAGGGATTCAAGCCTAGTTCAATCCTGTCGAAACATGCCCCACTTACCAGTACCCTACCTGCTACTTCAGGTCGCGAACAAGTTATAAACTAATGAAGAACAAATGCGAAATTTTCCTAGATTCTCTTGGATTTCCCTTCCAAGATCGAGTCGTACTTCTCTTGGGGTGTCGGTGAGTCTTAATCCCGACCATTACCAGTAATAACCAGATAGTTCTAGAAAAACTGTGAATCATAAAGGCGTTGAAAGATTCCTCCTGATCATGATGTTTGAAGGTTTACCCTTCACTCACTACTTTTTTGTTTTACATTCTTTAATATTCTAGTTAGTACCACTTCTTAGCTTACACATCTCAGCATTGTGGTCCTTTTCAAGACCTAAGTTTTTTGCGCTCTGAAATCATTGTTTTTTTCCAGCACGGATTGTGGTGGGATTGCATTCGAGCAGAGAAACACGTGGTGGCCGTCGGTGACTTTTACGATGAGACTCCACTTCATTGCATGTACAAGGTAGTTTTCCAATTTTGTTGAGCGAAATTCATCCATTCTCTGAGGGGTTCAATGAATTCTCATACAAATCTCCCGATCTACATTGATCCTTGAACTTCCTTTCGAGCACCACCATTCTAAAAGCAATGTGGAACTTTTTACCATGTCACTTCTAGTTCACTGCCCTGTCATCGATTAGGCCCTGGAAAAAAATGCGCCGGCTAGATACCAGAATATTTCCCCGATAAAACTTGTCCTCGGTGGTATTTCGTCCCTGTCAGTGCGAAAAGAGTGAAAGATGGCCGCCAGTCTTTTGGTGGAAAGACGTGCGAGGCGCATGCTATGGGTATGCACCAGTGTCAAAAAACTTTAGACCGCCAAAACCACAGGTAGTTTGTACCCAGGGTAGAAGGCTGGGAAAGACGCTTTTAAAAGGACCGGCAGGCAGGCGTTGTGCTCTGTGCGGGTATGATGCCCTCATACATATGACGGAGAACCAAACTACCATAGCGGATATATAATATACGGACATATAAGATACGGATAATACGCCTCTCCATGTTACACCCCCAACCCCAGATCTTCCTTTTCCGTGCTACTCACGAGCATTCCCTTTCGGCAAGATCCCTTATTACAACAAAACGACCCTCTCGCCAACTGCATCCAAGAATATTCACACTCTTTCCCAAGCAGGTGAGCGTTTGGGGAGGTTACGCACCCCCGATCACATATTTTTCCCTAGGGTTACAACGCTACATGCCCTGCCCTGAGGACAAGATTAGGTATGAATCTTGCCCGAATCCGGAATCGGAGTTGTAAGGGGTGAATATCGACGCGTAAATGATTCCTTCTCTGCCTTCAAGACATACAACTGTCCATTTCATGAGGCACATGAAAAAATCCAAAAATTTCCCGGAGGAAAAGCGTGGCTCTTGATAGAATTGTTTCCGACCCTTTTCATTACCATTTGCAGTTCGACAACTCTGCCGAAATGGTCATAGAGAACACACTGAACAACATCGACGAGGATGGAGCTGCCGGAGAAAGCGAGCATCACCGATTCTGGGGTATGTGGATTTTTCAAAAATGGAACTTTATCAAATTTTTGCTGTTTTTCTTTGGAACTGAGTAATTAACAAGCACTAAAATGAGCTGCTGCGTATTTTACCAGGGAACACAGCTGGGTGATCTTTATTCAATACTTCCCCTAAGCTCTTCATCCCGTACAACCCCTCCCACAACCTATCTACTGTCTACCGAATTTTTTTCAAAAACATACCTTTGAGCGGATGCATG